CTCTTAAAGGACTTTTGGCTTGGGGAAGATTTGAAAGTGTGCGGGAGGTCGTTCCATAATTGTGGTGCTCTGTAGGAGGAGGAGGATCGGGCTGCTTTACTTTTGTATTGAGGTAGACTAAATAAAGTGTTGGTACTGGATCGGAGGTTATAGGAAGTGGGAACAGCTGAGGAGAGCATTCTGCTCAGGTAGTTCCCAGAAAAGCTCTTAAACACAAGGCTGGAAAGATGAAGGGTGCATCTGGATTCCAGCGACAGCCAGTTTAGTTCTTTTAGCATGTCACAATGGTGACTCCTGTAATTACATTGTAGCACAAATCGGCAGAATGAGTTATACAATGTATTGAGTTTATTAATGTGGGATTGCGATGCAGATACATATACTACATCCCCATAATCAATGATTGGCATTAGCATTTGTTGTACAATCTTTTCCTTTACTGTAGGGTTTAGGCAGGATTTGTTTCTGTACAGGGCACCTAGTTTTGAATAAAGTTTAGATGCAAGCTTTTCTATATGGAGGCCAAAAGATAGATTGGGGTCTAACATCATACCCAAGTATCTGAAAGAGTGGACTGCGGTCAGTGTGCCATTTGAATTTGTTTTGATGGATAGGTGGGAATCAACAGGGAAGCAGAGAGGAGGAGGGCTGGTCCAGATTGCCAGGCTGCAACCCCCAACAGCCTCAGCCACCACTCTGGCCACCGGGGAAGGAATCCTTCAAGGTAGGAAACGGGAGTAGACTTAAAAGTGTGAGAAGAGGTTCACATTATTCTTGTCTGTAGTCATTGGGGTGTTTGTCATCTGCTGGTTCCCTTTCTTTTTTACATACACCCTCTCTGCTATATGTACGAGCCCCCCCTGATAATTTTTCTTCTGGTTAGGATACTGTAACAGCTCTTTGAACCCAGTGATATACACCATATTTAATCAGGATTTCAGGAGTTCATTTAAAATTGTGTAGTGCTGGGGGAAGAACATTTGCACCATGTAAATGTATTTATTGTACCATGTAGTAAAACCAATGTTCCTAATATGATCCTCCTATATTCAGTTTATAAACAAGTCACTATTAACCCTGTATGTACCAGGTGTCTGAGAAAAGCATTTCACACTCTCTGACACTCAAGTTAAGAGTTAAAACAAATATAAATGCTATTGTATTACTGAAGCAAAATTCTCTAGCAGTTCTGGCAAGCATCTCATGATCATTCATATATATTTCTTAGAGCAAGTCCTTTATTGTTTTAATAATATTGCCATTTTATTGCAGTGTTTGCCACCTATAAGCATCACAAATCACTTTGGGGTATTTTCACTAAACAGTGAATTTCACTGAAAAGCTAATTTGCAAATGTTCAGTCTGAAATATTCAAGCTGGGATTATGTGTAAACTGGAATATGCAATATTTGGGGAATTAAAGAATTCTCTGTTTTTAATTCACTGTAATGCACTGCTTAGGATGTAGATCACAATGTGTTT